CCCGGCATCACCGGCTGTGCGTGGGACCCGGGGACAAACGGTCTTGTCCGTGCTCAGGCGTGAGGATGCTGGGACACAGAACAATCTCAGGTGATGCTTCATTTACCGTTTATCAGGCAGAAAGCAGCGGACCGAACCCCTCAGAGCGGGGGCAGGCAGGCCAGCGGGGTGTGATTTTCGGGGTGCTGATGCCGCGGTGGTTTCACCTTTGGTGGCTGTTGAGGTTATCGGTGTGGGAAAGGCAGATATCGCCTTGCTGGGGCTGTGCCGGATCCCCCTCAGCTGCAAAAATCCTCTTTGTTTCTCTCAGCTGAGGCTTGCAAAGTGGCTGAACTTAACACGAACTGAAAGCAACTGTACGTGCGCTAGCCAGGAGGACGTCACCTATGACGTCACACAGTGCGGATGGGTTTTAACAGACCCGTCCCTGAAGGGTGATAGCTACTGAGCACCGTTTTGGTAGAGAGAAAGAGCATGCAGCCCACGCCAGTGTTCTTCCTTGTCTGGGGAAGGAGCTGCTGTTTGCAGTGTGGTGGGACTGGGATGATCATCCGTTTGTGGGTGTAACTCGTGTCCCCTGGGAACACGGGGTGCTGCAGTCACCCTTAGCTGTTTGTCCTGGAGATGAAGATCTGTCCCCGAGCTTTCTCGGAGTGCTCTGGGCCAGCCTGCAGTTGGAAGAGATGTCCAGGCTGTGTACCCCAAGGGTACATGTGCCGTAGTCCAGGGATGATGCTAAGATGTGGGTAACATCACCCAGCTGGTTTCCCTTCTGTCACCTGCAGCAGTCTGCCACCTCCCAGGGCTGTTCTCTAGCGGGTATTTTATTGCATGTGCCAAAATGCCCTGGGCGGGCAGTACAAAGGGTAAGTGCCCAAAGAAGCAGCCCAACCAACGTAACTATTAATTGTAGCTTGATTTGCCTCGTGCTATTAACCTGGGAGTATTTTAGTATAAAACGCAAGCCAGGGAGAGATTATTATTTTTGCATTACCCGTTGTTCCAAAACTCATCCAGCAATGCATACCATCACATCTGATTTTTGACTCCTTTCTACTGAAGCCTTCGTTATTCAACGTCATTACGACTAAACCACATCATTTCATACTGTTTTTACAGTACATTGACAACCTAAGCACCTCACTCTCCAAAGGCATCACTCATAACTGCATTAGTTTTTCCATCCAGTATCACCATATTCCACTGACTCTGCTTAAATCAGCAGCTTATAAACGGATAATGTCTCTCTCCCAACCTCTGTGAGGTAAAACTGCTATAAAAAATGTGAACAGTGAAGTACGTCAATGGCAGGCAGTCCAGCGTGGCGTGCTTACTCCAGTGGGGATGCCAGAGTTAAGCTAGATTTCTGCTTTGAAAGGCACAGACACTCTAGCCTCTGCCAAGTGACACCAAAAACTGGTTAATACTGCACATCTGCTATCTTTTAGGTCTCTGATCCTTCCAGCTGCAGGAAATGAGTGGGCAAAGTCGGGGCCGAGCTCAGGTTGTGGAGGGAATGGGGTGTTCTGGCAACAGGAGCCAGAGGGGACTCGGACCCAGCAGCCTTATCCTGACCCAGCTCTGCCCCAGTGCCAGCCTGTATGTGTGCCCCAGTGTGCAGTAACCCTGGAAAGGAGGGGATCATCGAGGGAAGAGGAATATAGCTGGTAATGGAGCATTGTTGACAACAATATAATGAAAAAAACCAACTTCCTCATGATTTCTTTGGGCAATGCATCTCAGGATGGGTGGTTGTGAATTGAATGTTTTAAGTCATGAAAACCATACTAAAGAAAGTGCTGAAGGGGCTAGTTCTGCATAGCTAGAAGGGGTGGAATAAACAATATAGCGTAATTTACTTATTAGATGCTTCATATACTCTTCTAACTTCTGCAGTCCCCTAGTTCAGCTCTAAGAAGCCTACTGTGATTGCAAGGATTAACTCTTTGCTTAATTCTTCCAGTGGAAGAAGATGTAGATGGATCATCTGCTAAATCCCAAAGCAGTTTCAAGGAAGACATTTGTCCTCAGCCCAATGCCCAGATTTGATTTCTACTGTGGTCTGCTTGCACTTCTGGAGCCCTTGAGAGTAAAACCTCATCTGCAGGAACTGGCCAACTTAACGTGATGGGTCTGATTAAATTGAGTACTTAATACTGGGGGGGGGGAATCTACGGTGTTTCATACCAGGGCACTAACAGCTGGTACTGCCTAGGAACAATTTGGCTTTGGGTCACTTTGAGGAGGAAAAAAAAGCATGGGAGACCATGGCAATAATTAGCTGAAAAGTTCAGAGAAGTGCCATGCAGGAGGAGGTGATGCCATTCCACAGATGCTTGTCTTTGCTCTGAGTCACTGCCCAAGCTTGCCAAGGTGCTGACAGGATGCTCTTAGTGACGAGACGAAAGACAGTGTGCCTCCTTTTGCTGGTTGAGGATGGCGTGGATTGAGATGTTGTTCTGGGGGGTTTAAGGTGTTCTGCCAGTTCAACCTGAATTCCAAAATGTAACGCTGTGGCTGGTGTCGCACCTAAAATGAAGCAAAGCCTTCCATTGCAGGGGTGAAGTTTGGCAAAGATGCTGGAGGTGTATGCAGACACCAGCAGAACCTGCTGATGTGAGAAGGACATTAGCCGTGTTTATGCTTCCATTATCTGGAGGACAACAGAAATTTATCCCCCTTCCTTTCCTTCTGCAATGTCATAACCCCAGTCACTTCTCTACTGAAGAAAATCTAAGGCTGAAGGAAGAGAAGGTTTTCTGTCCTTTTCAGGAAAGAAGGGCTATGTTCTTGGCATGAGGTTGTTTTGATGTTCCCCCTTAGTCCGGGACAGACACCTTCCCATGGTGGTGACTGCTGTAGATAGAGGTGGAGGAAACAAAGTACCTTGTTTGCTGTCACACTGCGTCTCCACCAAGCTTTCCCAGGGTCTCCCGTGGCCCTTCGGATCACTTGATTATTTTTTTTTCCAGCCACGAAGAGCCCTCGCTACCCTTCGGGCCAGTGGTGAGGGGGAAGGGTTGTCACTCCACACACCTGCCTTCAAACCCCGCCGACGTGAACTGTCCTGCAAGACACTGAGTGTTTGCACCGTTTTCCTTTAAATGGGACAATACCCAAGGGATTAGCAGAAGAGTCAGATAAAAGTCAACCAACTCTTGCAGCACATTACTAACAGTCTTGAGCTTTGGTGGCTATTAACAAGTGCTTACAAGACTTAATTCTTCTGTCTTCTAGGCGATCAACCACCAGCAGTGTGCTTCTGGCCCCAAAACACCAAGCGCCTATTGCAGGAGGGTCCTGATGCAGAGGATGTCTCCTCTGTTATGTCCGTAGCTGATCAGGATGACACCGTGGTTCCTGTGTCTCTCCAGTCACCCTCTAATGCCAACCAATCCAAGGACTTCATTCGCTGCCTGCCACCTCACCTGGCCATGTACATCCTGGGTAAAGCTGCTCTGATTTTCCAAGGATGGTTTCCCCTAAGGGTCATGGATGATCCCTATGTGGATAGGGGTTAGCAACTCTGTCCTTTTAATTCCTCAGGGTTTTTGGACCAGAAATCCCTCAATGTATGTGCTGCTGTGAGTAAATGCTGGGCTTTTCTGGCCAAAGAAGTCAAGAGGGAACGTGTGTGTCAAAGCATAGTACAGGAGAAGATCCTGTATTTGCAGGTATGATGCCTGGGTTTCTGCACTTCAAAAAAAATGATGTTTTTCTGCTACTGCCCAAGCCATTAGATGGAGATGCTTGTACTAGAGGCCACCTCCCAACTTCACCCTGTTCATCCTTCTTCCATCTGCAGAGCTAAGCCAGGTTAGATGTTCATACTGTCACAAGTAAGCACAACAGAATAGCCTTTACTGACCTTTAGAGAACCTGCGACTCTAAAAGTGGATCAAGGCATTCTTGTGATCTCAAACAGCTTGGTCACAAATGCAAATGCTGGACTTCCAGGAGCTAGGGGAAACTGGGCAGAGCTACAGTGGCTCCCTGAGGCAAATCCAAAATGAGCTTTACTTGCTCCACATCGGAAGATGGAAATGCTAGTTTCATTGTGAGAAGTCAGAGCTGGTGGTTGGGCACAGTAAAGCAGAACTTTAAACCAGGAAGAGCTTGTCCTGGTTAGTACAGACCTGCTGTAAACCAAGCTAAGTGTAAAGGTAAATCCCCAAAGAGACAAAGTTAGGGGTCTTTTCGTGCTTCGATTTGTGAAGAGAGCATGGAAATCTCAGCTCTGTGCTAGCATTCACAGAAGGCTTAATGGAAGGTTTCACACATTAAAAATGAATCTTAGATATTGATAAAGATGTTTTGAGAGCCTGTCATCTTGGTGTGTTTGGGTTCTGAATCAACAGAGTGCTCACCAAAGATGAGATGCACTTTGAATTCTTTTCTGTTGAAATGGAAATTTTGCGGCTTATTAAAAGCTTAAGACTAGAGTCCGGGAAAAAAATAAAAAGCAATTATTTTTTTCACAAGAAGTTAAATCTTATACCAGGAAAGCGGTAAATGCAAGCCAGGTCTCTTAAACAAGAACAGCAAGGCCACGTGTGCAGCTCAGCTTTGCATGTAACTTCAGCATCCCATGGAGATGCCGAAGCACCAAGACACGAGCAGCACCCTTCATGCACGTGGGCTCTGCGGTGACTGTGTTGCCTCTGCTGGTTTATTCCAGGGGTTGTGCCCTAGAGGAGCAGTTCCAAACTATGCTAAAAGAGTGGATGTTACAATTCCACAGTTAAATGAAGAGGGTGATGTCGTTGAAGTGGAAGGCCAAAGCTGGGGAAGTAAAACAACGGTATGTTGGAAGTTGTTTGCCTTCTGTGGATCCTGCATTTCAGCGTTTGGGGAGGAAGGAGGGCATGGTGGTCTTGGAAGACAGGACTGAATTTGGGGTTGCTTTGTTCTTCTCCCACTCCTGCTTCTGGCTTGCGCCATCAAGAGCAATACGTAAGGACCAATGCTTGCTCAGCCCGTTGTTGCATGGGAGGGAGCCTGCATCCCTGAACTTGGCCTTGACCTAATGTGTCCCCCCCAGTCGCACAAATAGCCTTGAGGCCAGAGGTGCTGGCAAGGCTGGGCAGCATCATGAGGGCATGGCCTTTTCACCAAAGCATAAAGGGTGCAGCTGGCAAAGTCTTCCATTTTTCCATGGAACGTGGCATGGGAACAACCCTTCTTCTTGCACTAACCATGAAGTTCCTGCACTCTGCGTGTTCCTTACCAACACTTTCTGGTTCTGTTGGTCACATCACTATAGTAGGGACCAAGCTGATACCTTTAATGCTATGGAATAATGCTGCATTCCCCCCTACCTGACTTATATATCTCTATTTCTTTTTCCATCAGGAGGAGGAAGACAATCTGCAGGCAGCCTATCATGATCTGCAAACTGAAACGATTCAGTTGGAAGAGAGAAATGTCTTCTGTGGCTCCTATAATATTCGTGTCCTCATAGACCAGTGAGTAGACTGCCCGGCTGTAGGGCCAAACAATGGCTTCCAAAACCCTATCCCATTCCTTGCAATCCTTCTGTGGGAATGTATGGCTGGAGAAAGGTGTCTTGGCATCAGTGCTAAGAAATCCTCAGCGTCAAATCCAGTTATTTATGAAGATACCAAGGTAAGGTATTTTTAAAGACATAAGGGTCAGCGATCCAGTGTATCCTGAGGGATATGGGGCCGGCAGGAGCCCTCTCCCCTCTTTAAGCTTACCCCCCAGATGCAAACATGGCTATGCAGAACTGGGGATCCTTGTCCCACAAAGGATTCACCTGCGTAAGTGCATTGCCCATCAGCTTACTCAACGAGGACCATTGCACATCAGAGAAATGCCTGTTCCAGCCTCAGACCTGTTGTACCTTGTTAGCTGGCTAAAGCTCATCTCAGTCACCGTTTCTTATACAGATTGGACCGAAGCAGAATAATCCATTACAGTGGTGGAAACTTGGTAGCCGTTGGCGCTGCGGACCGAAAAGTGAGGCTTCTTGGTATGTCGAGAATGAAAGAAGTGCCGCCTCTGCTTTCTGGCCACACTGGGAGCATCAAAGCACTGTTCCTCAATGAGAAGAAAGGGTTCGTTCTCAGTGCAGGCTTTGATCTTGGCATCAGGTGAGCAGTACAGGGACTGTGCCCCAGGATACCAGCCCCTTGGAAAATATAGGGAAAATTGAACCTTAATACTTCCACCCCATCTTTAGGAATCGTCCTTCCCATTGCTTTCATTAGAGTAATGAAGAAAGGACAGTAGGTAAGGAAAGACATCCCCTGCTCGCATAGGACAGCTCCTGTTTCCCAGTGTCACCCAGTCCTGAATGATAAAACAGGAAGATACAGTGACGCACAGATTTTTCTACAGTATCTTAAAACACCAGCTATGTTTCCCCTGGGCTCCTGCAGTGATATTCTGGCCTTGCTAAGGTCAGTATCGAGTTCACTGAGGCCGGGTTTGTCCATGGTATCTTAATTAAGCGGGCTTAACACCCTGGTACCTGCTGTACAGCTGCTCCTTTCCAGGTACTGCACCCTGAAACAAGAGGTGGGTGGAGATGATCAGCTCTAAATCTTATTTATCACTAAATCAAGAGTATCATGATGAGGGGTGAGAAGCTAAACAGCAGGTTGTCCGGCTCTGGCATGGCAATTTCACAACTTTGTTAAACGCAGCACTTAACAAAAATGGAAAGAGTTTACACCAATTCTGGCTCTGTTCCCCCTGCTCTTCCCCACTCCAAAAGGTCTGTTTGTTTAACCCAGTGCTTGCGTTCTCTAGATAAAGTCAACAGAAATCATCTTGACTCAGCCAATAAACAAACAACTTTGCAGATAAAGTTCTACATTTTAAGGTTAATTGAAGGTAACCATGCCAAAGGTGAAATCTAGCCGCACATTTCCAGGCAGTTTGGAGGTAGAAGAACAAAGTATATTGGTAAAAATTTAATACTAAGCCTGACGGTCACTCCAAATCCTCGGACACCTTAGTGGAATGACTCTGTATGTACGTACTCCCTGTGTATGGGAGAAAAGCTGGGCCTGCTAAGGAGGAAATAATGAGTAAAATGAATAAGCCGTCAATTAAGTTAATCACTGTATTGACTTTTCTGTCGGTCCTTTGTAGATGCTGGAATATATACAGTGGTGCGTGCATGAAAATCTTTAATGGTCACTGCGGGACAATCACCTGCTTGGATTTACATGAAGAGAAGTTTGTGTCGGGAGCCAGAGATGGGGCGGTGAAAGGTGAGAGCCAGGACGAGGGGTTCCCAGAGGCAAATAGTAGTGAGGATGGGCAGAGCACTTGGGAGTTGTGATGAGTGTGACACACAGTGTGCGAGTACCAAAGTAAGTCCATAAATTGAAGGGTGAATTTTAGCATCTCATATTTTTGCTTCCAGAACAGCCTAAGCTATGGACACATGTGCACACAAGGTCTCTGTGTCATTGAATAAACTCCCATTATTTCACCTTTTATGCAGTTTTAATGGATTTGGCAGTAGGGACGGACTAACTCATGGGAAAGTGGTATCAACGTTCAGCTTTGCCAGAGGTTTCCTTATTATTAGCTTATAGAATAAGGACAAAAAGGATGTGCTATTTGCTGGACTTTGCATTTAAAATTTTTACCATGCAACGATACTTTTTAAGTCAACACTTGGCTTATGCGCAGAGCTGCAGGTATGAGGTGCAACTGTAATTCCAATAGTATCTTATAATTCACATTGTACTTGGCAAAACTTATCATTGGGACATTTTATATTTTTAATATTTCTCCCCTTTGCCCCTAACAGTGTGGAACCTGGAGAGTGGGAAATGTCTCAAGACCCTGAAGCACTCTGGTGCTGTTTGGGTAGTTAAAATGGATGGCACCCGTGTGGTCAGTGGGTGCGACCGGGGGCTGGTGAAAGTCTGGTGTGCTGATACGGGCACGCTGATCAAAGTAAGTTTCTTAGGCAGATGATTTTGTGCTAAATGGTCAAGAATCTTCTGTGCTGGTTTATCATGTCTTTGGCAAAAGCAACAAAGCTTTTAAAAAAAAATAAAAAATAAAAAATCCCCCAAAACCCAAACCAAAAGCAGTCTAAACTGATAAAAAACTGCAGGAAAAATGCTCATAAGCAAATAATATAAAACCGATTTTTCAAACAACCATCAGTTTTAACCCAGAGTTTGATTCCCCATCATTACTTGTTCTCTGCAGATACATTCATCTCTGCTCCTGTAGACGCCTGGGGATAGGGCGGGAGGGCTTGACTAACGGCTCCCGGGGGTGGAGGTACCATCCGTTAGCCCAAAATATGAAACTTGCTCTCAGAACTCGTAACAGTTTGTTTATCCAAAGCAGTTGAACAGCTGCTCCGCAATTTAAAGATTGAGGCCAGACTCTGCTAATTACCTCAGTAGGTGTCCAGAACTCGCATTAGTCCACATCTGAGAGGAGGGAAGCTCTTCCTGCCTGTGGGGAAGAGAGTTGCTAATTGAGATGCACCTTGGATACAAGACATCCCAGCTCCAGCTGAGCTGAGTTTGGGGTTGTCCCTTCCACTACAGCCGGGGCAGTCCGTGCTCTTCTCTCCTGGGTGAACAGCCACGTCTCGGTGCAGAAATGTCTATTTAGCACATGTAATCAAGATGGGAAATGGATGCTAATTCCATGCCAGTAGCTCACCATCAGCAACTAGCCCTGAATATTTCCTATAAGTGACTATAAAACTAACACAGTTATCCCTAGGGGGTATTGGTGTATTATTGGGTGTTAATATAAAACTACAATATAGTATATGAGGCTGCTATTGTGAATGCCATAAGGTATCTTGACATATTTGCATCCAGACTGCTGACTGTGTTGCACCTATTTCTTTACTTTGCAGACATTGGAGGGGCACCAAGGCCCAGTTAAGTGCTTGTCCTTTGATCAGTGGCACCTCGTCACAGGAAGCACCGATGGATATGTCCTGGGATGGAGCATGTTGGGAAACCTTAAGAGATGCCTAATAGCTTTCCGTCACCCTAAGTAGGAATCGGATGTTTCGATTTGTGTTTGAGAGTCCACTAGATCTGTAAAGAAAATGTCTCCCTTATAGGAACAGATAATGCTTTAATTACCAGTCTTAGGACTTGAAATATTCCCACTCTCAACAATCTTTGTCTGTAAAACGGTGTCAGGCACTACGTGGTCACCACCAGTGTTTGCCAGTTAAGACCTATAACAACCTAAAATGCAAATATGCAGCCACTTGTTCACAAACAGGGGTGACTTCAGACTGGGAGTGCATAGTCTGATATTTTAAGGATCCCAACCTGTATGCAAAAGGGTATTGGGCTGCCTGGTCAAGAAAAGATCCTGTCTGTGTCAGAGTTACATGCTGAACCTGACCAAGTGTATGTTAATTTTCTAATACTTTAATTGCTTATTAGAACTGTGAAAACTGTAGCATCCTATTGTTTCCATTTACTATCCTAGACATAAAAATGAAATTTTAAACACAGCAGATGGCCATAACCACACCAGTTGCTCTGAGGATGCACTGCGTTGGTTGGTTTGGACATGGAGTGATGATGGACTTCTCTACTAGGCCTTTTAAGTATCTCAATGAGCTACTTTCTTTGGCCTGTTGATGGAGGCAGACCTCTGCATCTCCTCCAAGACAGAGATAGTTGATCACATCTTCCTGTGAAAGCACAATGAATGTACCAACACTGACATGTCATGTTTTCAGGGAAGTCCTGTCTCTGGAGTTCCTCTATCTCCGAGTCATCAGTGGCTGTGCTGATGGAAAGATTCGTATCTTTAACTTCCTGACTGGAAGCTGCCTGAAAGTGTTGATGGCCAACAGCAGAGGGGACCCCATATCTTCTTTCCATGTTGCAGAAAACAGGTTGGTGACGATAGCTGTAATCAGCCTCTGAACCAAATTAGGTAGCTCACCTTGTAATTTAAAGAATTCTGTATTTTTCCTTTTACTGTCCTTCTCACAGATAAGTTTTAAAGGGCTCTACTGCTTATTGACTACTCCAATAACTTGTTTTTGTTAACAAGGCCTGAAAAGAGATTTGCGTAGTTCATTCAGCAATCTAAACTTTCCTGTTTCTATACAACTTAAGATACAGACCCAACTGTAAAGCTGAATTCAGAACCAAAATCTCTTAAGAGGTTGGAGAATCAAGCCAAGGCCCGACAAAGCCTTTACCTGTTCCCTGACCTACTGTCTCTTTATAAAAAGCCAATCATGGAAAATCCTTCCAGGCTCCTTCTCTTCTGCACCTCTAAACACAAGGTATTTCCCAGCTCCTGTGCAAGCCATGGCTAACACACCGGTGTTATCAATGCTGCTTTGGTCACAACTCTAAAACACAATATATGGCCTGCTGTGAAGAAAATTAACTCCATCCCAACGAGACCCAGTACACCCTCCAATTTCAGTTTAAATGTCCCTAATAATATGGTATCTTCAGTCTCTTTTGGCATGGCACTGATCTAGCTCAGTCCACCGTTGGCAATCTTCATGCTAATTATTTTAAAACTAATTTTGCCATAGAGCTGAATGAAGAGAGCCCCGTAGACCTCGTACGTGAGCATGAGTTAAAATGTACAGCGTCTGATTGATGGGACTAATTGCTATGCTTCCTCCAACAAGCGATGGTTATCTTGGATCTATTTAAGCGCCCTTGGGTTTTATATTGCACAGAAGCAAACGGCCCCTTGGGCAATAACTGCTGTGTTAGTGATAGCTGTACTTCAACGGCTTTTACTTCCCTTCTCCAGGATGGTGATCAATTCAACAAGTCTGTTGACGTTCCAGTTTGAGGATGTCAGGTGGGACTATACCTTAGATGCTGACCGAGAGATGGTGAGGAAGAAAAACCAGCACAAGGGGACTTCAAGCAGAACCGCGCTTCGGCAAACGAAACGCCACAACATCAGTCAGAGGCACCCGCTTGCTCTGGAGACGCAAGATGCTGACCAGCTCATGCTGTCTTACTGGATCCGCTGCCGGTCACCGAAAGGCTGTGGAATGTCTCCAAGTACTACGTACAGCCTTTAAAATACTCCATCATCACTTTCTAAAATGAGTTAGAAAGAGTTTTAAGTACCCACTGCCTTCATCCTGATCAGTATACAGACTCTCTGCTTTTTTAAAGCACAGTCTGGTAGATGTGCTGTTGCATTTCAATGGTTCTGTAATTTCCATGCTTTTGTAAAACCTTTCTACCTTTTTAGAAATGCTTGGTATAAATTCAACACTTTTGTCAGGACAGGCACTGTCATTTTCCAACTGAGTAATAGCGAAATCAGTAGTATTATTCATATTCTTACAGCTGGCATGCACAGAAACAAGCTGCTGATTCAGTGCTTGAATTATTTATTAGAAAACACTCTAGAAAGTCATAGGACACCTGCAGTCAGGATCTGCCATCACCGGGAAATGCAACTGCACAATAAGCAGGCACCTTTTAAATTGTAACATTGTGATATGAGGTTTGGTGTTTTTTTTTTAAATCATCAGTTATTTAATACAGTATGTATCACAAATCTCTCAGCTCTACAATCAAGCCATATATTGCAGATGAACTGATGGGCTAAGAAAGTTTTCATGCTGTTAAGGCCATCAGACGCTAACCTCCCTGATGCAACTCTACTTGGTAAAAGATGTAGAGTTTATACAAACAAGAAACAAACAGGGAGTGCACTATATTTTCATTTTAGTGGCAAAAAAAAGTATGGGTTGTGTATACATACTTAATATTTAAAAAAAAAAAATCAACATTTTCTGCCATCCTTGAATTCTGTGAGGTTCTCTGCTAATCTTGCATCTTTGGATTATTTCTAATACCTAGACCTTTAGAAGCTGTAGTAAGAGGCAAAACAGTAATCAAAGACTTGAAATTCCATCAGTTATGAAGATTTTATTTAACATAAAGAAGTTTAACGCCAGTGAAGTTGAGATCACTTTTTCTTCTGTTTTCTAGCTCTGATGAAATCAGCAGCCTGCCAGCAACAGTGGTCTTTTCTCCAGATGGAGAAGGCTTTTCGTATTCAGGCAGAGCGGCAGAAAAAGTTTTTCATTCCTGGCATGGAACACCGCCATGCCTCTGCCTCAGGAAAGTCAGCGAGAGCACGTTCCGCAAGAATCCTGGCAGATACCGGTAAGGACTCTTGGCAGCTAGGTAGGACGGTAACTCTTCAAATGAGCGCACCTAAGATAAATGAACAGATTAAACAAAAGGTAAGGATCTCTAGATGACAGGCCCATTCTGGAGGAAAGATTTGCAGGGGTAAAACAGATCGCCTGCAGAACCTCCTACGGAAGCTGCTTTAGATCAATCAAATAAATAGGACGAGTGATCAGCTCTAGCTGAAAAGCCTAGTTCTCTGGTATCTAGGTTTTTTACTCTATCTTTATTCTATTTTTTGAGTTCTTCAACAGGTGTAGGAGAATGGTGCACAGAATTTATTCAAGTAGTTGGTATTTAATCAATAGCAGTAACTCAGAAAATTGTTTAAAATAAGTAAATTGTCTCAGCCAGCAACGATGTGGCAACCTGAAACTTGAAAATGAGATAGTGCCGAGATCACAGACATGGTCTGTGGCTATATGGCATTTGTCTCCAGTTAATTTTTCTCAGGTTTTATATTCAGAATCTGTTCAGATCTTAAAAGTTTAAGACTTGCTCTGAAATCTTACTTCAGAAGAGCTGTACCCATGGAAAGTCTCTAACCCCAAACTCCTGGTGTTTGTAACTAAGATGCAGGGTCAAACCTGTGTGCAGATTAAACAGCTCTAAATTCTGTGAGGGAGGAACAAGCAGTAATTTTCATTAGTTCGTTTTGCCGTATTCTGCCTTTCTGCACTGTAACCTAACGTTCTCTGAAATATGTCTCCAGAGGGCGGAAGTTTCAGTCAACCGGTTTGGAAAACAGAATTGTACTGCTAAGCAATGATACACAAACAGCGTGAGACTGCAAAGTGACAAACAAATTGCTATGTCTTACGCAGTCTGTGTCATAATCCCCATCTAGTCCTTAGTCAAGGGCATAATCACGCAATCCATCTTGGTGTCTGTCACACGCAGAGGTCATGCCCTACATCCCTTGAGGCAGCAGAGCTAGGCTATGAGTCTTGTGATTTCCAATTCAAATGCAGCTCTGAGTAGCAACAGTTCAAACTGGTTCTCAGATCTTGGCTACTTCCAAGATTTCTACCAGGAACTGACTTGTCTTGAGCCCCTTTCCCAAAGCACAAAGTGTAGGACAAGAAAGGGTACGTGGGAAGAGGTGGTGGGGAACCTCCATTCCTTTCAGAAACCATGGTTTCAAACAAGGTGGGTGCCAAACCATCCACACACAAATACAACGTATGTTACAGAATCTGATGTCAGTTTGACCCGTACAGGCTGTGGCAATGAACACTTCTCAGTCAACCAAGCCAGAGTTACCTCTGGTGTTGGCACGGTCATTGCTGAGGCTCAGGATGCGCAAACCGAACTGGGCACTGTTGGCTTGTAGCTTCCTACGCTGCCTGTTCTGTAGAGGCACTTGGACTGTCCCTGTGCCTGTCAATCCAGCACCCATCCTTGGTCTTGCTCGACAGTGATCACAAAAAACTATCCTCAACTTCAACTGTATTTTATTTTTGGAAACAGATGGCAAATCTGAACGTGGCCCTTCTCTCCATGCACCTGCACATCCTGACAGAGCAGAAGCCGCTTTGCTGCATGAAAAGAGAAGAGGTCCAAGTTGTCCAATGTCCCCTGACAAGTTCCTCCTAACTGTCAGCATGCTGCAGAACACCTGCAAGTCAGCCCCGGTCAGCTCCAGTGTTAAGCACGCTGCAAAAGTCAGGGAAGCGTGGGAACATCAGCAACACCACCCTAAAAAGGTGCAAATATACAAAACCCCCCTGCAACACAAAAAGGATCAGACAGTCCAGCTCCAACGTGTGAGATTGCACAGTGATTCTCTGACTATGAAAAGAATTTCTACACCCTTTGAAACCAAAACGCTGCAGCTCAAGCTGAAAAACTCTTTGCACGGTCCCACTGTGATTTCCTCCATCCCTGCTCCCTCCGTTGTACGTCCCAAGACGACCTGTGGTTTGCTGCAAGAGAAGAAAGCTCACAGTGGTCGTGGTAAAGTCATTCCTCTCCCTGAAGATGGGGTTCAGCTTATCGATCCCTTTACAGCTTCTTCTGAACTGATCAAATCGACGCATGCGATGATTACACAAATGAAAAATGAAGCGGTTTCCAGGAGAAAAAACCCTTTTTCTCTGTCTGCTGCAGACCCTTCCCGGAGTGACACTGGGTTCAGGCTTCTGACAGGAAAACAGAAGGAGGCGGATGAGGCAGCTGCTGTAGCTCAGTATCGGGCACAACAGATAAAGCTCACAGAAGATCAGCAAAAAGCATGCAAGAAGGCCTGGTTAAGGAAAATTAAAGGCCTATCTATAAACTCTTTTACTGGGGAGGGGAAAATAGCTGCTCCTGAAGTTGGGTTTAATGCATTTATCTGAGGTAATCCCTTAGTCCAACAAACAACCGGTATCTGAGGATTCTGGTGTCCAGCTGAGCGTGCCATGTCAAGATCTCTGTGGTTTCTACGGAAGTATAAAAGATATCTCCACTGTAAGTGGTTTGGGGTTTTTGGGGTTTTTTTTTGAAATATTGATATATTTGGTTATTTCTCAAGGCAGTGCACGGACTGTTGTCTTCTGGATTTATCTTGCTAGACCTGCTGTTACTACAGACACAGCATTGTTTGATGCTAATATAGCTCAACTGTGTGTGAATAATAATAATAAAAAATTATTAGAGTTTATGTGGCTCGATTAGAGTTTATAAGCTGAAAAAGCGTGGACTGAAAACTGGCTGAGTGGCGATTAGTTGCATGACGTCTAGCTGGAGGCCAGTAACTAGTGGCATAGCCTATGGGTCAGTACTGGGTCTGATCTTGTTTAACATCTTCATTAATTAATGATGTGGATGCTGGCAGATGATACCAAGCTGGGAGGAGTGGCCGATCACCAGAGGGCTGTGCTGCCATCCCCAGGGATCTGGGCAGGCTGGAAAAACAGGTTGAGAGACCTGGTGAAAGTGCAAAGTCCTGCCCCTGGGGAGGACACCATGGACGTGCCAGGGCCACCCAGCTAGAAAGCAGCTTAAAATCTAATTTGTATTAAAAAAAAAAAAAAAGTAGTGGTTTCTCTTTCTCTGGTTTAGTGGATAAAACACCTAAATGTGCTTGATTTCCATTAATGCTCAAAACCTAAATTGGCTTAAAGACAAAATCCATCTGTCTAGTTGTCCAACTTTGAGTATCTGGGCCAGCATACCAGAAATCTCTCCTTGATTCTCTTGCATTTGGGGCAGGACACTCCTCCCACGGTCCTTTTGGCAGCGGTTCTGGTTTGAGATGAAAGTCCGTGAAACGCTCCATGCAGCAAGGTGGTGATTAGTTTTGGTTTGTTTATTTTAATGTCATCTTCAAGTTCCAAACCCTGGGGTTAAGCCAGACCTTGCTAACAGTGAAAAAACCCAATAGCTGTTCCCCCAAAGAATAATAATGAACAAGTAATAAAAACTAAGTATCCATGTAAAGCTTTGAGGAAGCCAGAAGTTAATGAAGATGTGGGAGCTGGACTGTCATAGTTCAGATTGGCTACTGAAAGGCCGCACAGGTTGGGGATGAGCGAGGGATTACATTGTTGGGGATGAGCGAGGGATTGTCTGAGGTGGCTTTGCCTGACGTTAGTTTTCAGACACGAATATGCAAGGATTTCACACTTAGCCACGGGATGGCACTTTCTCACAAGAAATCGGGTGGAAACCCAGCATGGCTACAGCCAGAGGCCCTTTGGCACAACCCCCCTGGAAAAAAACATCTAATAGAGGGAGCCTGATGAAAAAACATCACGGAAAGGCTGATGCCTTTTTAGTCATGCCCAACTGAGGAGGGTTGGAGTGTTGTCTTCCTATTTGGAGCCCATAAATGAGCACCTCCCTGCAGGTGTTGGGTGCTCAGGCACTTGCAAGATGCTCCGGCCAACAGAGGTGATGTGAAAATACCTGCAGAGGCAGAGCTGGACCAAGTCCTGCGATCGGCTTTAGCTCAGCACTGCGGGTGCAAAGCTGGGAGCTGGGCGTTGGACATGCATCGGAAGGGAATTAATGTACGGGAAGATGTCATACGTGAAGTCACTTATCAAGGTGACTATGAGGAGGTTGTTTTACCGCCTTAACAATTCACTTCTGAATTAAATTGACCTTTCTGTGCACCTGGCCCTCGGGTGCCCAGAGGTGAAAACCTGGGGGTGCCACGGGCAGCATGGGTGCTGTGCCGGACACGATGCGCCCCAAGCAGAGAGAAAACCAGGCAGAGTGGTGTAAGAACATTTTGATGGAGTTTTGCTGTAACTAGGTGCCATTGGCGTTGTTCTGGGGTCATCCACAAAGCATTAAATAGCAGGGCCCTGACGTGATGATACCGTATCGATGTCACAGCAATTTTGTCTGTATAGCTCATTCCTGAACAAAACGTGTTTTCACCTGAGTCTTGGTTATAACTGGAAGGGTCTGTATTTCCGCAGAGGAATGGTGCTTGGTGCTTCACATGGTGAAAAGAAAACGAGCAAGACAGTATTAAAAAGAAGCGACAGCAAAGGTAGAATTAAATTAAGCTTTTATATAGTATTGTGTTTATCGGTAACAGCTTTGGATTGCCTGGGAAATGGCATACTGGCTTAAGTGAGCACATAAAATGCATTTGGTAATTAGGCAAGCAAAATGGGCTTTTTGATATCGTCTTTATAGTGATGTGAAAACACACCTGTATGCAGGCAGTATTGACATGAAAGGACATTTTACTTCCTCGTGGCTGGATCATGCACCGTGAGATTAGATCGTGTGTTTCAGACTGTGGTGGGTTGACCCTGGCTGGGGG